CCTGTCGATTTGGTCTGCACGAATCCAGACATCAGACGCCACGGCGGGGGTGCTAAGGTCTTGCTCTTCGCTTCACCCAGGCTGGGTCACATTAGACCCTTTGCGCCCACAGCCAGCACGTGGCAGAGGGCGTCCTTTGACTTTCCACAAACTCAGAAGCATTATGTTCGTGGAGGCAAAGCCACTGTGCCTCGATGGTCAGGTGGACACATCCAACCTTGCATAATGCGGCAGGTGTTTTCTGGGAGGGGTGAGCGTGCTAGATTGTCTCAAAAATGGGTGCAAATAATTCCCGTTCTGATTCATACACGTGGCTTCTCCTGTCAAGAGGCAGAGGCTCCTTCCCCTACCCTGAATCTAGAAGGCCTGGGGCGGACTTTGACAAGTGGCAGAAGTGATGTCAGATCAGTTCTCGGACTAGGCTCTAAGAGGCCGTGCGGGTTCTGGTTTTACTCTCTCGCAAGCCTGTCACCACGTGAGAATCCTAAATACCCTTCTGGGAAGAGAGGCCAGAGTCCCTAGCTGGTCCAGCCACCCAGGAGTCTGAGGGAGCCATCGTGGGTGGGTCAGCCTCAGGCAGCCCCCTGCTGGCTGCAGCCACACGGTGACTCCAGCAGACACCATGTGAAACAGCAGATCAACTCAGCTGAGCCCACCTCACCCGCAGAATTGTGAGAAATAACAAATCACTGTTTTAAGCCCCTATACTTTGGGGTGGTTTTTAGGTAGCAGTAGATAGGGGAGGTTGTGTGTGACTTTACCTGCCATGTGTTTATAATGGTATTTTCTCTTAGCAAAATTGTACCTATTCGTATGACGAGATGATGTTGCCATCGATAGTGACGGGATCGCTCCAGGGGCCATCTGAACAAGTGCAGGAGCCACTGCCTCCGGGTTCTCTCAGTATTTCCAATTGGCGGGTTTATTCTTAATAGTATATTACATACAGTAACTGTGTATCTTATGCCAGGCAATATAGTGATGGTTTATATTTTATTATGGTTTGTTTAATCCTTGTAAATATTATAAATGAGGAAACTTAGGCTGAGAATGTAAATTCAGTTGCCTGAGGTCACACAGCTGTTGGTCATAGGGCCAGGAACTGACCCAGCTTTTACCGAACTCCACCCACGTGCTGACCCCACCCCCATCTCTCTCCCCACCCATCCTAGGATTGGCTATATACGTTAACGAGGATTTTAATTTAAAGAATGCGTTTAATTTACCAAAGTAAGCCATTGGTCTGTGTCTGTAAGCCAGGGTAGCCGCGTGGGACAGGATCGCACGCTAGTAGTCAGGAATCCACGACTTTTGGTCTTGGTGGTGATGCCTCTGTAATGGTGGACGCCAGTGTCCCCAGTAGCCAGACTGAAACAGGATGGGTTAGATCAGTGTTCCTTAAGGCGGGGACAGGGGGCCCACCTACATCAGCATCCCCTGAACATTGTTTTAAACAGCAGATTCCTGGACCCCTCACCCCCGGCAGCCTCTCGGGGTGGGGTCCAGTTAGCTTCCAGGTAACTTTCTGCTTCTAGGTTAAGTTTGAGAAGCCCTAGACCAGATGTCTCTTAGGCAGACCACTCTGAGCTCTTAAAAAATAATTCTAACTACGTTTAATCTCTTTAGCCGAGAGATAATTGTGTTTGTTAAAACAGAACGGTGGGGTTTACAGTAGGAGCCCTTCCGAGGGTTAAAATGAAGTATTTCCGAGGCTGCTTCCGGTAGCCAGAGATGCTCTGAGATCACAGCAGACTCAGAACTTGCTTCTGCTGCAACAGAATCTAATTTCCTGCATCGTCGGTTCCCCGCTCCACTGGGCTGTTTTCGTCAGCATGCGAGTTCGTTCCGTTCTGTCTTAAATTGACCCCTTTCAGTCCCCAGCTGCCTTCAGCTGCTGTCCCTGCTCCCGTCCACTGGCAGTGACGCTGGTCAGGACCAGCGGAGTCTGTGCTCCCTGCGGTCCCACCCTGTGGGGCTGACCCCGCCCGCGGTCGCGCGTTGGTCGGGTCAGGGCCCAGCTTCCGGTTTCGTAGCGCCGGACACAGTTGTCCACTTACTTCTCTGGCTTCCAGGGCACCACGCTCGGGGATTCCGATAGTCTCTGGGGCACTTCTTCCCTCCGTCACTTCTAACTTTGGGGATCACAAGTTCCTTTCACAATCTGGTGATCTCTATGGACCCGCTTCCCAGAAAAATGTGTATTTGTTTATATTGGCAAAATTTATCATCGGTAGTAGTTTTCATCCTTTTTAGTTATGGCGTCTTCTAGGAAGGTCCGATTTCCTTCCGCCCACATTTAAATTTTATTTTGATTTTTTTAATGCCGCACAAGACAAAATTTATTTCATTTATGTCTCTCTGCTGCTGTTACTTCGTTTACTTAGGGAACTTGTGTGGCCTGTTTTTTCTTCTTTCTGCAGGCCGACTTAAGCTTTCTAAATTTATAGTATGAGTTTTCATCCTTTTTAGTTATGGCGACTTCTAGGAAGGTCCGATTTCCTTCCGCCCACATTTAAATTTTATTTTGATTTTTTTAATGCCGCACAAGACAAAATTTATTTCATTTATGTCTCTTTGCTGCTGTTATTTCATTTACTTAGGGAACTTGTGTGGCCTGTTTTTTCTTCTTTCTGCAGGCCGACTTAAGCTTTCTAAATTTGGAATATTTAAGCAAGCCGCGGAGCAAAAGGGGGTGGCAGAGTCCCTGGCGGGTGGGGAAAGGTTGCTTTTGTTAGCCACGCCCTGTGGTGGGTGATCAACTGCGTGTACAGTTACATTTCCCTTTGAATTAGCTGTGCGGAAGGCAGTCATTGAACGTGGGGTTCGCGCAGAGCCCCGCGTGCTGACGTCACGGCAGTCGTTGGTCTCCGCGGCCGGCGCGCTGGTTCAGGCCCCTCCCGGAAGGCCGTCCTCGGGCTCCCCGCCAGCGAGCAGGGGCGCAGGGGCGCAGCCACCTGTCCCAGATGCTCTCCACCAGCTTCGCAGCCTCCTGCAGCCGGTCGGTCCGGTCGTCCTCCCGCACGACCTCGTCGTGGCTGCTGCTGGCCGCCACCAAGCGATGGCGGTCACATCGTCGAAGCCTCGGATCCTCGGCGGCGTTCGTCGCGCCGGCCGCCCACGTCGAACGTGACTTTGTCCACCTGGCACTTCGTCTCAGAGACCCCAGAAGTTGGGACGCGGCAGCGGAGCAGGTGCTGGTCGCTGGGCAGGTGGTCATCCTGCTCGGTGGCACCCGTCTGGTCCCGGGAGTGCTGGGCGCGGAGCCGGCACGCGCTCCCCGGGGTCGGAGGGAAGTCGAGTCCGCCCGGATCCGGTTCTCGGGGTCGGCCCGCCGCACGGGGGCCACCAGCCTGCTCGTGGCAGCCACCGCGGTTTCAGTGGCCGCCTCCAGGTTGTTTTCGATGTCCTGCACGGGGTGGCCGCCTCGCTACCAACATCGGCGCTCCTTGCCGCCTTTGGGTCCTCTCCATTAAACCATGCAGGATCCTCGTTCGCGTCGCAGTGCTGCTTTGACCAGAGTCGCCAGCACCTTCTGCCCACGCAGCTTTCTAAAGGCCCACGCCTCTGCTTGCCCCTCGGAGCAGAAAGAGGCGATGGGGAAAGAGGACAGTCCGTCTGCCGGGCTCCCAGCCTGAGACTCCGCAGTCCAAGACCCTGGAGCGGCGCCGCCGCTGGGCCTCTCCCGGGCAGACGAGACAGGACACCCAGGCGAGCCAAGGGCCGATCTTTATAAGAGTGAAAGGTTGTCAGCCGAAATAGTGTTCCTGATACAATTTTGGGGAGTTCATGTATTAAATCATTTATTCTCTATAGTTATCAAATGGTGTTAACATTTTCAGCTGTTATATAGGGCGCACTTGGATTGCCCTGAAAATAAAGTGTCATTGTCGTGATGTCATGCCGAATGCTGATATTTAGTGGGTCTGAAGACCTGTTTTGAATCTCTTGGAAAGTCTGGCAGACTGGTCATTATGTATAGCAATATAATTAATATTTCTGTTAAATTCTCCTAGAGATTATTAAAAATTGCTATAAAACCTGAATACAAATTGTGGTAAAATATCCTGCATTTCTGTAGAATTGTTTCCACCCGTCCCGTGTTTAAAATGTATTCAGTTCAAATTTAAGTTGTCGTTTAAAAGATGCTGTGCATAGTCCTTTTATCCACAAATGTTTTCCTTTCTTTGTACCCTTGTCCAATCTCTTATCTCTCTGTAAATAGGATTCCTCTCTAGTCGTATCATGTACAACTTGGTTCAATTTTTAGAAATCTCAGCGTTTTGTGAGTAATTTTATTACGTGTTTCAGCTAGAATTTTTTAGTGACTATCTGGTTTACTTAATAGTTTCTCTCCAGCTGGGCATATTTATGGGTTCAAGAGTCCCTCAATTACAAATAAATGCTATTATGCAGAATCTTTGTAAATGCAGATTTCTTTTTATTTTTTAATAATTGCCTGCTGACAGATTTCCAGGAGTATGTTTGTACAGTCAAAAATAAACCGAACCTTGCAGTCTTTAAGGTGTTAAGATTTTTCTTTATTTTTGCATTTTCTGAAAAACAGTCTATTTGAATTTGCATTTCTTAATCATTAGCAAGGTATAACTGCCCCCCATTGGCTTAATACTTCTGTTGACTCTTACGTGGCTTGTTTTGTGTCTGTTTAATCTCTTGGGGTCTCACATGCTTGCAGAAGCTCAGCCCTTTGTGACCGATCATACCAATCACATACTTTTTTTTAGCATGTTGTTTCCTTTTATGCTGATTTTGGTTTTTCCAGCATGCAGAAAATTTTGAATACCTTCAGAATACTGCATCTATCGCTATTCTTAGTGGAGTTTTTTCTCTTTAAAATTGTATATTTTATTTGCTAATGGATTTGTAAACAGATTTATATAAATCTGGCAGAGTGACAGTTTATAAAGGATTTTTGCGTGTGTCATCTTTTTAAATGTCCCCATGGATGATATTTTCTATGTTCCATTTTTCTCCTTTTCCAGGCACCCAACAGGAGGATCCTTTATCCGTCCAAACAAAGCAAATTTTGGAGTAGATTTTCTTACTGCACTTAAGAACCGGTATGCGTTAGAAGAGGAAGCAGAAGCAGCTGGGAAAGAACATCTTGTTACAATTGGAAATAAACCCGTGGAAACTGTTGGTTTTGATTCTATTATAAAACAGCAAAGGTAAGTGGAATCGATAATGGTAGGCGGATTGGAATTAAAGTATCGATTTGCCCATTATTGGCAATTATACCATGCTGTCTTGTATTGACTACTTATTAAGTAACTAAGGTTGACATTTTGGTCCTTCTCCATTTCATGGTGACACTTCCATCTGGTTGATGTCAGAATTGAAACAAGTCTAAATTGTCACCTGTGCTGCGTAGCATGCTGGTGCCACCTAGGGTCCAGTCATTCCCATCATCTGGTGCACCCTTGTATCTTCTGGGGTGCTTTCGAGACATACAGACTCCTGGGTGCCATCCCAGACCTCCTGAGTCAGGACACCCTGGGCACTTGATTTTAAGAAGAACCCCAGTTATGTGGCAGTCGGAGGGGCACGAAATAGTGTCTTAAAACTGCTGAGTCTGAACAGCCTTTGTTCTCTGAAACTGCGTACACTGACTCCCGAGAGGCCCACTGCGCGCTCTGATGAACTGAATCAGGGTGGAAGCTGATGTTCTCACGGAAACACAGGCGCCGGACACCCTTCCAGGTTACACAGGTTTAGTGGTCAGTGCAGCGCTTTGACCCTGACCCGGATGAGGTGTCCTAGTAGTGACCCCTGGTGGACACTCTGGAGAGTAGATTTGCAGCTGCTTGGCTCAGGCCTGCGATCTTTTACTTTTAGTCTCAAGGAAAAGAATTAAACTGATTTTGTTCACAGTAAATTTCTTTGCTATCTTTTTGGTGCTGTCATTGTTATTATTGAGAATTAACATCATACAGAATTTAAAGAGCACATGGGGACAATGCTGAAGAATAAATTCGTGTTATCTTCTTATGAAATTGAATTTTACCTACATTGTAACATTTAACTTTATTTTACGTAGTGTGATAGAATAAAAATAAATTTCTTAATAGCTCTGCTTCTTAACAGAGATAACCAGTTTTTAACAACACCTCAAATCACGATTTTAAAAAACACGTCGATTGTTAATTACAAAACAATATGCATTTATTTTGAAAATTTAGACAATATAAATTGAACAAAAGGAAGTCACAACTGATGACGCCGCCGAGATATAACAATCACGAATTGGCTTTTGCTGTTTATCCTACTGATTTATGTGATTTAAAGAACTGTGCGCTTCATAGACTTATTTTTCCCATTTAAGATGCAAGTATTTAAATATCTTTTACCTCAAAAGAGACACTTTTCTTCTTGGTTAATCTCTTTAGACTGCCCGGGCCCCTGCGAATATTACCGACACATTGCAAACAGATTTTGCCCTTCGTTTAGAAACAACTGCGTAACTCATGAATTTTTCTGGTGAATGACTGCATTATTTGAGTGTTCAGTAATTAGCTAGTGTCTTTCTTGGAAAGGACCCAAAGCTGGGTTCAGGTGTCAGCTGAGCTGCTCTGACACCAATTGACTTATCGGCCCTGAGCTGGCAGAGCTGCTGCTGTAACAAGGGAGACGTGGGGAGAGCAGAGGTCGTCCTCGTCCTTATTCGGGATGGAAACCGTGAGCCGGTCATCGTATGATCTCCTTAGTGATATCCAGCTGGCCAGCTTTGAGTTCGTAGCACTACGAATAAAGGAATCAAGTGGGATCCCTTAGGCGTGAGTTCTGTTGCAGGTGGCTTTGGCTCTGGGCTGCGAGGTCTGTATTGAGACTCAGTCCCTTTGTTCCAGTTTCCCGGCACCGCAGGCAGCGAACTCTCTGGGGCCCAGCGGAGTATTTTCAATGTTAGAGGGAAACGGTGACATCTGTCGGACACGGCGCAAACTACTAGTTTGAGGCAGTTCCCAGTTTCCTGGTCCTGTGATTCCTTTCAGGGGCGGCCCATGGCCCATCCCTGCGAAGCCAGGTTTGGCAATTGCTGCGATAAAAAGCAGGTACCTCCCGAAAACCGTTCAGGACGGAGAGTGGAGGTGGGGGTGTCCCGTCCGGTCGGTCCCTGAGTTCGGGGAGCCGCACTGCCCAGCAGACACTGAGTTGATAGGATGTGAATCCTCAGTTGTTTGGTCCCAACCACTCACTAAACATAACGGTTAGTTATTCCTTTAGGCTTCGGCACCGTGGAAAACTCACCGGAACACCAGGGGCCCCACGAGCTGAGAAAGTTGGGGAGCCTCTGCCCGAGAGTCTCGCTGCTGCCCATCTCCCTAGTTTCTGACGATGGCGATCGCTCGTGCCTTGCATTGTCTCTTAGTGTTTTACCCAAAGATTGTCAGCTTTATGTTTATTTTTATAAGTGCTTATGAAATAACTTACTAGATGTCAGGCAGTAGTCTGAGAATTCCACAAATACTAACGCACTAAATTATTGCATTTTAAAAAATTGTAAAATACACAAACAGAATTTACCACCTTAGCCATTTTTAAATGTATAGTTCAGTGGCATTAAGCATAGTCACAATGTCGTGCAGCTATCAGTCATCACCATCCATCCGCAGAACGTTTTCATCTTCCCAGACTTAAGCTGTCTGCGCATTCAGCAACTCCCCACCCGCCCCCCGCAGCCCCGGCACCCCAGGCATCTACTTTCTGTCTCTATGAATGTGACTCCTCGAGGTGCCTGTATAAGAATCACAGTGTTTGTCCTTATTTCACCCAGCATAATGTCCTCGAGGTTCACCCATGTTGCAGCCTGTGTCACACTGTTCTTCCTTTTTAAGGCTGCATAATATTCCACTGTATGTCTAGACCACAGTCATCTATTGACAGATACTTGGGTTTCTTCCACACTTTGGCTGTTGTTAGTGATGCTGCTGTGAACATGAGTGCGCATCGTAGCATTTTAAACACGTGGACTCTGCCACGAAGAGAGGTTAACTCGCCCATGGCCAAAGGAGTGGTGGACTTGGGGTTTGAACCCGGCAGTCGGGCTCCAGACTCTGTGTAGACACGTAGACGCTGGAACACGTGGGCTCTTTTAATGATTAGAAAACACAGATTCTCCGCACTGAAAAAGTGGGTATCTAGTAGCTGAATCCCTAGGGAGACTGAGCGCAAGAAGTATGCACCAGTGTTTACTTCAGCACTGTTGGGAATAATCTAACTGTCAGCAGAGGAGTAAATAAATTAGTTGTCACCTGTTCAGATAGTAAACTATAAGATGCGAAACGAATGTTCTAGGGTACGTGTGTCGATGTAGCTAAATCTCACTGCCGAGCAATATAGAAAAGTAGTTTGCAGGAGGAAATGTACAAGTATCATACCTTTTCTATTGTTTTATAACGTTCAAAAATGCCGTAATTGTTTAGGGATGTGGAATATATAGTAAAGCTCTTAAGAAACGTGTAGGAGTGAGCAGACACCGAGAGCAGCGTGCCGGGCCCCGCGGAGGAGGTCGGCGTGCCGCGGGAAGGGGCGCCAAGGACTGGTCGTGTTCGCAGCGTCCGCGAGGCGCGCTCTCTGTTCAGTAACGCTTTATTTCTCACGTCAGGTGGTAGGTACTAGTATTTGTTATTTTTGGTACCTTGTTACGTGTCTGAAATGCTTTCTGATTTTTTAAAGGGCCAGCGGAAAGCGTACGTGTTTATGCATACATGTGAACTATGTGTTTTTCATGCAGTCAGCTGAGCAAGTTGCAAGAAGTTTCTTTGCGGAACTGTGCAGTGAATTGCGCTGGTGACAAAGGAGGCATTGCCGAAGCGTGTCCGAGTATCCTTTTCCCTGATGACTCATGACTGGAATCTGACTGTGGGTGGACACTTGTGCCAGACACCGCTGTCGCCTACCCAGTGTCCACTGTCACTTAGGGCAGTCACCGCCCAGACACATTATTTCCCTTCCCAGGCCCCTTTGCTTTCAGGTGAGTCAGTAACTCGCCCTGGCCAGAGAGATGTCCAGTGGAAGTTTCTGGATGGGGATTCTTAAAAGGGGACAGACGGGGTTGGCACCTGCCTTCTACCCATTGCCTGTACCTCCCTCTAGCCTGGAGAGCAGACAGACAACACCGGCTGGGCAGCGGGAAGTGTGAGGAAAGCGTCCAATATGGGCTGGGAGAATGGGGGAGGGGGCCAAGTCCTGGCCGGTGTCCTGAGGCCCCCGCACAGCGCTGGGCTGCCTCGCTGTGCGACGCGAACCCTTCCCTTCGTACCGTTCTCATGCGGCCCAGCGCAGTCACGTGAAAATAACTCAGAACAGCTCGTGCTAAAGTTCGTGATCTCTCTTCTCTGCCTTCCAAGTTGTTTTCCTCATGTGTTGTTTTTATGCCCACACGCAAAAATAAGCTTTTAAAAAAATTCCTAGTGGCATCAAATAGACTTTCTCTAACTTTGAAAGGTCTTGTCCCAATTCTGTAAGCCTGCTTCATCTCTACATAATTTACGTCAGAGACAGCGGCTTGGGATCCGATTTCCCTGAGTGGAGACACAGCAGGTGGGTAGCTCTCTAGCAGTGTTTCCAGCCACCTGACAGTCCATACCTTGTGGTGACAGGAATTAGAGCAGAGCTGCCCGCCGGTGTGTCTCAGGTGTCATCCGCTAGCCTTGGGGCCTGTGGGACCCCTGGGGTCTGTGGGTAGTGGGGGGTTCTGGATCCCCCTCCAGGCCCAGTGTGCAGACAGCGAAGCTGGTCCCTCTGCAGGCAGGGCAGAGTTGGGGGTACAGCTCGGTGGGGCCTCAGTGCACATAGAGGTGTCCGGAGCATCCACCACCGCCTGGCTGCTTCTGAACCAGTTCAGACTGGGGATTGGGTGGTTTCAGGCTCGTTTTCAACAGACAGGAAAGTTCTGGGTGGGTGATGGCTTAGGGAATGTAGGCTGTTTGGTGGCTGGGCATTGTCAGCCGTGTAGTGACAGTCAGCATCTTGCCAGTGCAGACTGCTCTTTCAGGGAGAAATGTCCCCCAAGATGAAGAACCGAGGTTTGCTGGGAAGTGAAGGCCCAGCTGACGTGCGCAGATTCAGTGACTTCCGCGGCTCCGGATGGAGGGCCTGCCGGGTGTGACCCAGTCCTTGGGGTGCACCCCGAGGTCATTCCCGGGCAGGGACGCAGGGCGGCCGGAGAGCGCAGCAGGTCGAGAGCTGCTCTGGGGACGAGGGGACGGCCCCTGCTTCACCGGCTGGCCCTGGCTCAGGCGACACATCTTGGGAGCGGGAGCTGCGGGTACTGTGCATGTGCGT